CTACCAGGGTCTTGGTCCTGCAGTTAATACAGAAACAATGTTTCCCCAACTTCTCTCTGTAGCTTTTCTTTGTGAATTCTCTGTGAGCTTGGTGAGATGTAGCCTTTGCACCATCAGAACAAGAGTGTAAGAATCACCTACATCTTGCTGTATCACAACTTCCTATGTCTTTGGAAACCAAAATTTCATACACTGCACACCCCAGGACATTCCCGTGATATTTCACGCAAGCACACTGTATCTCTGGCAGCTGCAAGGAGTTCAGGCAGACAGAGAAAATAAACACAGAGGGGAAAGTGTCACTTCTACCCTGTAAGGTCCACTCGGGATATTTATATCCCCTGCGGTTGGGGCTGCAAAGATCTATGTCTTGTTTTATTGCGCCATCTGCTGGCCAAGTTGCAGAACATCTTTCTCACCAAAATCTCAAAGACCCATTCTGCCAAAGGTCACGTCGGTCTTGTACTCCAAACGGTGCCTTTGGTTTTATAAAAAGCGCAGGCCTTCATGAGGCCATTTCCTTTGCTGTGCTGTTCCCCCAACCATATTACTTCTGTCTTCAAGTGTCTTCCCCTTTCTCATGAATTCTTGAAGTGTGGCTAATGTCAGGATTGCAGATCTTGCCTCAAATTACTCAAACTTCTCGGACCTTAAGAATCACTTGGCGCCTCTAATTAAAATTCTTTGCGCCCATCCCAGACCTACTGAATCGGCAATGATCTGGGGATGTGCGCTTTGCAGAGGTTTCCCCAGCAGATGTTTACAATCAAGCTGATATGAGAAACAATGAGATCTAGCCTGTTCTTTTCACACCACAGACAAGACCGTAGGATTTGGGGAGGTGGTTTAGGGAGACTTAATTAAGCCTTCCACCCCTCCCCTACCTCCATCGACATATACACTCTTAAGTATGAATAAAAACCAATATGTTTGCTATATAAACGCAACTTTAAAACGAGTCCCTAGGGGTCACCATATTGCCACTACTCCTACACTTTGTTACAAAGAAGCTAATGAATTATTATAGGACTTAACTAGTCACATAATTACTTACCATCAGCCTCACGTCCAAGCTGACAAATAGTTCTGTTCTATTTTTCAATACTCGCAATAGTTCTGTGTTGGTTTTGTCCAATGAGGAAACAAACTCCCGCTGAGGTCACCCCAGCACGTGCCTAGTGACTCAGGTCAACCTGGCCCCTGACCCAGGTGCATCAGCACCACGTGAAACTTGTTACAGATGCAAATGACGGAACCTGCTGAGTCAGAACCTCTAGGCGGGCGGAGCGACCGGTGCGTTAATTGGCGCTCCAGGCGCTGCGGGGGCGGGTCCGGTCGGCGAACCCTGCACGTTGACCTGCGCGCGCTCAGGAGTTTGTCGACCTGGAAAGTTGACTCTGTTAGGTGCGCAGCCGCCCGCCATCCCGGCCTTGCAATGCAGTTTCACTTGGGGGGTTCAGAGGGGAACATTCGAATGTCACTGCCCTAGACGATGAGTGAATTAACTTCTAAATTCAAGGGCCGGCTCAAGACTAAGCCCAGGGTTTCACAGCGGGGCGCTCGAAGCGCACCTGGTCACAGCTGCAGTTTATTAAGCGTGAGCTTCGCGCCTGCCCCGTTCCCCCCGCTGGGCGCGACCCCAGCCCAGGTGCTGCAGGCTCCAGGGCGCAGG